TCGTCATAACTGTCTCCACAGATGTATTTATTGATATGCTTGAATGTGCTAGCAATTCCAGATGAAAATATAAAAGGTATTTCAATAAATACAGTCCACTCATTAGCAAGTTACTTAGTATTGATGTAATAAAAATGTCTTACAAACCCAGTTGAAAACAAAACAGGATACAGAAAAGCTGCCGAACTATAAACCGATCACAAACAGCTCAGGAATTTTGAAGAACTTCAAATATTCCTTTTTAAACTCTATTTCTTAATAATAAGAAGTGATGAAAGCCCATTATAAATGCGAAAAGCAAGTATAGGCAGGTTTATATTACATTACCGAGTCCACCCTATTTTTGTATCGGGAACGGGTCGCGAACAAAATAGTTTTTGGGGCTTTTGTGTCTTTTTCTATCTACAGAGTCGTGCGTTTGGTTATTTATTCGAAACTAGTTGTAAGAAAATAAATATTTACAAAAAAAATCTCGAAATATTGAACCTAATGACTTTTTTTATTCATTTATATACAATCTCTCTTTATCTGTAGAGTAGAGAGGGTGAGTGTAGGCTAACAGCACTTAAGCCATATGTGACCCATTGTAAATCCTCCCGAGGAGTTGTCCTCCTGAGTCATCGTTCATCCTGTCCTTTCCAGGAAGGTGGACAGGTATCTGGAAGACATCTCCTTTATATCGGCAGGTGTAGACCAAGACTTGCCGAACACATACTCTAGTCCGGTCAAATTAGACTAAAAAAATAAGAGTGAAGGTACATAAATTTACAACAAGCTGCAAATGCGTGTAATTATTCAAAACATAGTTGAAAATGAGATTTAAAAATTCCGAATGATTGCGATGCCTGGAAAAAAAAATATTCGAGGTCAAAGGTCAAAAATCTCAACAAAAAAATGGTTTTTAGCGATTTTCAGGAAAACGGTAAGTTTTATCATAAATTAACCTGAGATAGAAATTGTAGATCATAAAATTCTCTACGAAAAATATGCCAATACTTTTTTTTCTTAGAGCCACCGTTTCTGAGATACGACGAGTCAAAAAGTTGTAATCGTGATTATATGCATGAGTATGCCACATATATACATCTCTGAAGTTGTAATTTAAGTAAAAATATTTTTCTATTCCGATATTCTATTTAATGAACTTATGACAGTTCCTACCAGTCAACAGATATTTCTTGCAAATACTCACAACAAATCTCGGTTCATTTCAATGTTGAAGGATAAGTTTATTGGCGTTCTCATTATTTACCTAGGTGTTTTTTTATTATCATTATTTACCAAGGGTGAGGAATATCAATTCTCGTTAGGGGAATGGAGTAAATAATAGCAATTTCTCAGGTTAGTCTGGAAAAAACCTATTTATTGTATGTTTAGAATTCTAAAATATGTAATAAAAGAGCTGAATTAAAGACAGTTGTGAATGTAATATTTTAATAATCGAAGTGAAACTTTGAGGTTATAAATGGTTTATGTCAGTTGTCAGTCGCGTTAAGACAAGTTTGCATGTTTGCAAATTTAGATTCGCATTCACCAACAAGGTTTGTACACTATAGGTAGGTTAGTTTTCTGAAGGCTACAGCAAGAAGAGGACTGATAAAAGCATAGTATTTGAACCTAGCACTACATTCACAGTGAATCTACTCAAATAGAGACTCTTCTGAATTGACGCAAATTCAGTTTTTGAACTCCCCGTATACAACAACAAGCTCTTTTATACTCGTGAATAACCACTTTCACTTACGGTCGATGATAACTTGCATGAGTTTTATCGAGCACGTTCTGCAACTCGTACATATCAGTACTTTCGAAATGGGGTAATAAGCATCGAAAATAAAAATGTGATTAGATATTTCGGTGTTAGTCATTACTTCAGGTTTTAGGTTATCATTTTTCAGCTGGTTTTATTTCGTATGCTACCAGAATAGAACGATAATGAGTACAAACTGACTGCATTTTCCACTGAGTATAAGTGAGAAATATTATTATTACACATCAAATGAAAACTATGATAACGTAAACATTGAGCAAATAGCTATAATAATAATAATGTTTATTCACCATTTTTTATACACTTGGGTATATAAGGTAAGTCAGTTGTACTACAAGCTAGTAAAGATAAATAGAGAAAGAGATTGAGCACAGATTTACATCTATATACAGGGCTATTCAAATTCGTTTCTGTATATGGGGATCTCGTAAACGATAAGAGATAGAGTGTCGCTTAAATTGTGGCAAAGTTGCGTATTTTAGAGACCTATTCAATGATGTAAAAAAATCGAATATAGCTCTTTTGCTTCTGGAGATATACAGGAATCACCAAAAAATCCCAAATTATTCTTTTGCCTATAACTTCTTTATTCACAGACATATTGAAAATCTGTCTACATTTTGCTATTGGCACTTGATGTGGGCTATCAGAATATGTCCATGAATTTTTTATACAGGGTGTTATCTGACTTGGGCCACCCCCATCTTTGAATTTTTAAATACGGACCTGTGTTTTTTGTTGTATTTTTTGTATCGTCGGTGTTCACTTCATACTGAGAAATTGAATTAAATTTTATATTTCGGGATGTTTGGGCAATATTTGATTATAATTGTGTGAATTATTCCCTTTTGAATTATGGACCTGGAAATTGGTTGACTGAGTTGAATAAAAACACAATAGCAACTTTCACGTCTCCCTATGTACCGTAGAGTTTTTTTTTTCATTTTTAGATACCTATTCATTTTTTTTATTGCTCTGAGCGTTTTCTACAATGAACTTCGAATAGGAAAACCTTTTATGATTATCTGAAACATATCTACATCAAAAATATATTATATGTGTTTTAAATTGTAATGGAAATTGAAATGAAGTAATTTATATACACAAAAAGTTTAATGGCGCAATAAATGTTCGAATTGGAGTCCTTCCATTTCGAGACAAATTCTGGGACAATATAATGGCCTGCAAGATCACCAGATCTTACTATTTTGGACTATTTTCTATGGGGGACATTGAAAAATGGGATTTACGCTGGCAGTGAGATAGAAAATGTGCAAGACTCAAGATTGAGGATTTTGAATGATTTCGCAACAATGCAGCAAATAAGTGTGTTGAGGGCAATGAATAATTTGAAAAACCGAGTTCAAAAATGTCTCGAAATGGAAGGACTCCAAGGACTTTTATTGTATGAAATAATTGATATTTTAGCTATTCATTCTAATTTCATTTGTTCATTCATTGATTTCGAATCATATTAGAATCATATTAGACAATGGATGTCCGAACTATTGAAAATTACCATGAAACATTGTCAACAAACCTTCAAATAAATATATAGGATGTTCTACTTGAAATAAAAAATTGCAATGAGTGAAATTTTGTATTGATATTTCAAACAGTTTTATTTTAATATCAAAAAATGACGATGAATAAACGTAAAGCTAAACTGGCCTATGCACTGATTAACAGTTAAGTCTACAGTCCACTTATAGGTATTATGTTTCCGCAATTAGTTTGTTTCATTTGGTTCTGCGAATAAAATATTGAAACTTTCACTTCCATTATTAATATCTTGAATGTACCCAGCTTTTCATTGCCATTCGCAAATTCATAAAAACGCTGATTTAAAATATGAGACGGTTCAAGGTCAAACAATATTACCGACAACTTAATAGGAAAGTATGAGTGACAATGAAAATTGACGGTAAAAAAAGTAATTGGTCTATTGCTTTTTTTCGAACTCATTTAGATGTAAACATCCTGAAGCGATGAAAAACCTCTCAACTTGCTCACTTGAATTTTGCCTCAAGTACATAAAAAGTTGGATCTGAATCTCGTAAAAAAATACTTGTGGATCTGGGTAATAATTGGGGTATCAAACCCAAATATGTCGAAGAAGAAGAAATGCTCACAAAAAATCATTTCATCAGATCAAAAAGCGAATACAACATGTGTGAAGTGAAATTTTATCCTAATTTGACAAAATATAGCCCAAGAAACCGACTATTCCACAACAAAACATATTATGTGAAAATTGATAATTTGTCGATCATGCAAGGAGAAAAAAATAGATTGTTATGTCTCCGTAAGGTAAATATTAGTTTTGAGGGCACCTGGCGATTTTGAAAACATATTCACGTACGTAACGTATTTTGATGCCTAGATTACGAATCCGAAAGAAAAAAGCGGCGCTCTCCGTTATTTTCAAAGTTCAGAAAAGGGCAACTTTTCAGCCTTCTTTTTCACAAGATAAAATATTCAAAAACACATACATTTATTCACTTGGTCACCTTTACACCTTATTCCTCCTTAATTGACACTTTTCGATTCAACAATCAACATTTTTCTTATAAAAAAACTCAATTTTAAAACGAAAGCTTGCATCAGTCGTACCAACTATGCTATTAACCTTAAAAACGTAAAATACAGAGGTATATAACCAAAAAGCAGCTCCGTACATTTTTCAACATTTTTATTGGAAAAATGTTGATTGTTGAAGTGAAAAGTGTCAAGAAATGAGGAATAAGGTGTAGAGGTGACCTAATGAATAAAAGATTGTGTTTTAAAATAGTTTATTTTGTGAACAAGAAGGCTGAAAAGTTGCCCTTTTCTGAACTTTGAGAGCCGTAACTTTGTAAATAAGGGAGAGCGCCGAATTTTTCTTTCGGATATGTAATCTACGCATCAAAATACGTAAGTACACTCAAAAGCTTTTTCAAAATCGCCGGGTGCCCTCAAAACGAATATTTACCCTCCGTAACTATTGAATGAACGACATGCACAAATACGCATTTAACCCATATTTTATTTCCGATATTTACACTGTTTTGGCATGGAACAGCCGAAACAACCCCGAGTACAACCCTACACCGGTGAGTTGTCGTGACAACAGCGGATTCACCCCTCGAGCAGCCGAAATCTCCCCGAATCACCCCTAAACTAAACGTACCACCCTTCCTACCCTCATCTTAGTTTGCCGTGGCAAAACCACAGCCAACCTGTCGCTAGACAACGCATACCTTCGCACACTGCGATCCAATTTTCGCCACACAATCACGGAAAACACTCGCGTCGCGGTATCGCTGCAGCGTGCTCAGAGACCGGCATTCAGCTGTTTATTCCGCGAGACTGTGGTCGCGGCCGCCGCGATTCTTGCAGCACGTCGCGAAGCCGGCGGACATCACTTCCTCATTCCGCGGCAGGCGCGTGCGCAGCGATCCCGCGGGGTTCCACGGCATAGGCGATTCTTACTCCCTCGCCCGATTTTGCATGTTAATTGGCGGGCAGGTGGGTTTTCGGGGTTTTGACGAGAGCGCGTGGTGGTGTCGAGATGGAGGAGAAGCCGCGAATGTACAGGGTAGCCCAGCGAAAATGGTGCAGCAGGGTTTGATGTTGCGTTGATCTACGAGGGTGGTTTGAGAAGTTTTCGAGCTCAGCATGAAGATGGCAGCACCATAAATGAGAGCTAGTGAATTTCGTTGTTTATATGTTGACGGTTACTCACCAAAGTTTCGGTCATTTTGGACGTACAGTTGATATGTAACGTCGTTTGAGTTAATTGATGTGAGTGTTTTTATGAAAAAGGGCAAAATGGAGTATCAAGCTATCATTAAACATTTGTTTTTGAAGGACAATACGCCTACGCAAATCAAAGATGAGTTGGATTATCTGTATCTGCACCATCTTTGACCACAGTGAAAATGGAAAAAAATGAAGATAACCATGAGATAAAGGATGCAAAAACTTTCGAAAAGTGCTTCGAAAATAATAATAAGTCAATAATAACTGTATTGTTGTAGGTATTAGATAATGCCCCCTAGAAAACTGGAAGCAAGTCCAACTCAGCATCAAGGGAATCTTATATTCAAGACTGGCTGCTTTCTAAAAGTATTCAATTTGAAGAAATATTACTTACAGTGAAAATTTTAGCAATATTTAATGAGCACAATACTACATTCAAATTTGCGGACAACTAGAATGGCAACAGTAAATAAAGTAGTGTTTACTCAATATAATATTTTTATTTCATTCACTTCGAAGATTAGAAATGCGATTTTCGAGTTTATTGTCGAAGACAGAATTATTACTTTTTAACACAACTTTTATAAATATTCTTCAGAAAGTCCAAGTTGATTACATTGAAACTACATTGCAAAAATATTTTGTATTCATTGCAGCCCTGAGTGCTTTTTTGTACACTTACTGAACCTCGGATTGGAATATAGTTTACTTCGCAAATGATCGCTGATTGGCCCATTTTAGAACACAGACAGTTGAAATGAGATATAACCTAACCTAATGATTTTCAAATTTCAAAACATTTGTATGCTATTATTTATTTAGTTTTACCGTTCCTTAAATAAATAATTTGTTTCTATATAGATATGAATAGTCAATAATACAGGTTTCTTTTTCCGATAATAGCTCAAGCGTTTGCATGCTATTTAATTATTATGACTCTTTAATGCGCCTTTTTCCTGAGAATAGTACAGTGAACGTGTCGTCGTTGGGGATATGCTACG